TTATGTTCATTTTCCCTCAAAGGTTTGAAAAGCAAAAAGAAAAGTAGCAATTCTTTAAATTTCTTAGGTGTTTAAGAAGCCACACATTAATATCACATTTGCAAATGCACATGAGCAGATGCCTACCTATGCACATTTCATAAAAGACATTATCTTGGAAAAAGAGATTATAAGATAGTTACGTTCACCAATTAGTGCACATCTATGATTCAAAGAGGACTATCTATGAAGCTTAAAGATCCTAGTAGCTTTACCATTCCATGTACTATAAGTAGTATGTCCTTTGATTAAGCTTTGTGTCACCTAAGTGCTAGTATTAACCTAATGCCTCAGTCCATTTTTCAAAGATTAAGCATAAAAAATGCTAAACCGACCTCAATTACTCTATAGTTGGTCGACAGGTCACTGAAATACCCTAGAAGGCTTATGGAAGATGTCTTGGTTAGGGTGGAGAAATTCATTTTACCTACTAACATTATAGTTCTAGATATGGATGTGGATTATGAGATCTTAATTATTTTAGAAAGACCCTTTTTAGCCACTTCTAGGACTTTAATTGATGTATAAAAAGGGAAAGTGACTATGGGAGTTCAAGATCAAAAGGTCACATTTCATGTTTTAAGGCTTTACCATTCCCTAATGATTTTTATAAATGCTCAAGGGTAGAGGTATTTAATGATGTGATTTATGATGTTTTACACCTAGAGCACCATGTTTCACATTTTGAGGAGTTCCATGTAGTTGATAAAATAAAAGACATGGATTTGAGTGAGGATGATTGTGACATATCAATAGCCTTTACTTTTTGATTTGCACTACCTTCTAGTGGTGAGCCTTTAGTTAATCCTGGCACTCTCCTTAAAATGATTAAACCTTTAAATCTAAATTCACCAGATTATGAGACATTTTCATTTTAATGATATTTATCAAAGTCCTGCAAAGTGTAAGGGTGATGGTCTAGTTGATATTGATGGGATCTAATTTTTAGTTAATTTATCAATATTTGAGCAATTTCAATTTAATCATTCATGTCATAGTCCTTTTAAGAAGGAGGGTGCAGATATGATAAAAAAAGTTATGATATGGTTCATGTTGCTGATAAACTGATTAACTGGATGCCAAAACCAAAACTTGCCTTAGTCCTTCTAGGTGTGAGGTTAAGGGTTTTCTTAAGAAGTTTATTGCTATTTTTGCTTTCCCACATGATCCACCATTAGATCATATTTGTGATTAGATCGTAAAAAGAGAGGTCTTGAAATGGTTAGATTCAAGAATTAAGTGTGGAGTGATTACTATGAACCTATAGGTTTGAGCTTATTATGATAGCCTAGCTTTTGGCTTTAAATAAAATGCTTCTTGAGAGGCAATTCAAGCTTTACATTTCATGTTTTGTTTTCATATATTTTTCTTATCTTTTCTTTTAATTGATGTAGTTTCTTTGTGTAGTGGTTTTCTTTGTTATGTAGGTTGAATGAGAGTTTAAAATGGATATACTAGTTTTGACCAAATCTAGATTGGAGATTTGGTCACCATCTTCCATGATTATAGGGGAGTTTTTTTATTCCTCTCTTTTTAGATTTATTACTTTATGCTTACACATTGAAGGAAATGTGTTATTTAAGTTTGAGGGTATGGGAAAATTACTCCAAATTAAAAAAAAATTTTGAATATTCCTTGAATTTTACCTTGAAATTGAGCTTAACATACAGTAGCTTGAATCATTATGATACTTTCTTTGATTAGTTCTTTATGAAGCCAATAATAAGTAGTGATTTATAATGAATATAGCTTTAGAAAAGATTGAATGTGTGAGAAATATGAGATGATACTTAGATTTAGTGAATTCTTAAGTATGGTATTCATTTATGAGTGATTTTTAAACATTGAATTGCATTTTTATATGTAGTATTGATTATGTGAGCATGAGATTTTTTTGCATTAGTCTTTGAAATGGTGTTTCATGATTCTAGGATTTGTTTTAATCATCTCTCGAGGTGAAATCTTAAAAGATACATGATTAGAAAAATGAGATAGGCCATCTTTGGATCGATTGAGCCATTTGAACCATCCTTAATATAATATTTTCATAGTCACCCCATTAAGCCTTATAATGCCTTTTTTTTTTGTTTTGAAACCATATTACAAGCCTATAGCCTTATTTTGTACATTTCCTATATTTTTGGTCCCTTGTTGTATATGCATTGGGACATTCATGCACCATTTGTGAGTTATGCACTATTAGAGAAAAAGGGTGGAGCTTGAAAAAAGAATGTAAAATTAAAAAATTTAAAAAAAAAAGAAAAAGTCAGGCTAGCTTGCAAAAAAAAAAAAAGAGAAAAACTTTTATCAAAAAAATTTATGAAAAAAAAGAAAAACAAAAGCAATAAAGTGGTGAAAAGGCAAAGAAAAGAAGAAAACAAAGAAAAATAGGCAAAATCAAAGTTTGGGGTGATTATTAAGTTTACTTTTCTTACCTTGAGAACTTAATGGTGAATGATCATTAACATGTGATACATTGTTAGGGTACTTGAGCCTAAATAACTTTTATTATACCTTAACCCTAACCTCACATTACAAGCTTATTAAAGTCTTAAATGATCTTTGGTCATGTGTTTATCTACATTAGTGGAGAAAGATATCATAAGCAAACTTATGAAACATGAGCATACTTTATTGATCATTGTTATTAATGTTTCATATTTTTCATAAGATTACTAGATTTCATGCAAGGATATGTGAGAGGTGTTGCTTGCTTATGGAACTATAGTTAGGAATGATCTTACTTAGGTAGATTCTTGTCTATTAGCACTTGTTCATGATTTTACTTTAGTTATATCCATTGTTCAATCCATAAGGCATTTATGTTGGCTGAAGCATTGAGGGTTTATTATGATTCTTGCTCAATTTTGTTTTGCTTGAGAACAAGTACAAGTTTAAGTTTGGGGGTTTTACTGCATTTAAATTTTAACTTTTTCATGCTAAATTTTAGTGTAATTTTTTATATATTTTGGCTTGTTCCTTCAGATTTTTGGTAAAATTACTCTTAAATGCATATGTATCTCATGTGTAAGTACAAATTGAGAAATTGAGAAATTTTGGACAATTTGTACACATTTTTTAAGATGCACATGAGCTGGCACTTTGGAGAGCTCCTATTGACTATAAAAAGGATTTTTTGGCATGGCAAAAATGCATGAAGAGAAGCTTATAAACTAGTGAAAAGTTTTAAAGCCAAATAACCATGTACCAAGTGCAGAAGTAAGAAGGAAAGAAATCTCTAGAAGCTCACCTTATTGTAGATATTTTAAAGAGATGTTTTGGGGCTCCATTCACCACTCACAGCCTGTAAATAGGAGTGGAGCCAGCTATTTTAGGAAGACTAGCTTAAGATTTTATTTTTCTTGTTCTTTAATTTTTACACTTTCTTTTACTACATTTTACTTTCTTAACAAACAACCAGCCCTTGATCTACATGTTTTCCTAATGATTTTGATTGCATTTTTACTCAATTTTCTTTATGATTTTGGTAATAAAACTTGCAAATTTTGTTGATTTCTAACTTAAATCTACTGCATTTTTGCTTATACTCAAATCTATTTTTGAATCTACCGACTTCAACCTACCTATGATTTTTTGATGATATCTCATCAAATCTTACTTGTTTTTGCTCAAATTTTTTTTCATAGTTTTCTAATTCAATTAGCTTCAACATAGTAAAAATTTAGCCTCAAACTCACATCACAGCATTTCAAATCAAGCTTGGAAGATTTGTCTAGATACAAGTGACAAGTGCAGGTTATATATGATCAATCAAGTTTAGCATGAAACTGTTCTCTCCTTGGCGAGTTGTTGGCTTTCTTTTCACTTTAAATCTTAGTCTTACTTGCTTATTTGTTGATTCTTACTTGATGCAGTTTATTTTGTTACATTTCATTGCTAATTGAATCATTTTCTTAGATGATGTTTTGATTTTCTAGATTCTGCACTTGTTTTGAAATTGAGTTTGTTGAGCTAATTTTTTTATTGAATCATGCTATTTTCTTGTTGATTTAGGTAGTTAATTCATAGATCTAGTTCGCTCTAGCTTAGATAAAGTTAATTTTTAGTATATAATCGCATCTTGAATTTTTTTTTCTTTTGAATTTTCATGCATTGCAATACACGCCATTTGTAGGCCAAATTCTGTTAACTGTTTGCTTAATTGTTCTTTATATGTTTTGTTGCAATTTTGGATTTTGTTTAATCCTTTATTCTTTTATCCATATTCCATATTAGATGTACTTTCAATTGTGCCATGTAGGACTATCAATCATGAAGTATAAAAGTTATAACTAGTGTTTATCTATTTCTGGTTTGCATTTTTTGTTTAGTCGACTTTTATTTTACATTCATTTTATTCATTATTCTTTAGATTATTCATTTTTATAGGCTATTTAGTGGTTGGTTAAAATTCAATTTGAGTTTAGGAAACCTTACATGTTTAGCTTTGTTTACATATGCAATTGATAGTCTTATAGTGATGTTTCATTATGAGTGATAATTTTAGCTATAGGTTTTACTTTCAGTTTTTTTGTCATCTTTGTTCATTTATGTTATATTTGATCTTCAATTTTACATTTTATTTTAGATAGCATTTATTTTTGCATTTTAGGCTTAGTTTCATTAAAATTGGTTACTATTTAGATATAGTTTCTTGCATTTCATGTCTTGAACAACGCATTTTATTCTTTTGGCAATAATTCACGATTTTTCATAATTTGTTTGATTTTGATCTATTTGATTTTAATTAATTACTTGTATTTTTTTGATAAATTTTTAATTTTGATATATTCAATTTTATTTGATTTTTGTTATTTTGCATTTCTTTTGTTAATTTTACCTTGGTAAATTTTTCACGGATATTCTTGAATTGAATCAACTTTAAAAAAGTAAGATGATAACTAATATTTAGCTTAAAAATTTTTATTTAATCTCTATAAGATCAACATTCCAACCAAAAAATCACTTTTACTACCAGTCCAAACTTATATATTTGCAGATTTTTTGAATCGGAAGCAGAAGAAGTTCTTTCCCATTCTACTTCTTTCCTCTATGGTGAATGCCTTGAATTTTTCTTTTTTTTTTTTAACTTTGATTTTGCTAATTAAGATTTTAAGTTGTAAGATTTAAGGTTATGTTTTCAGTACCCATAATTTGAATTTGAATGCGTTGAATTTTTTACGTTTTCTTTATTTTAAGATTTTTTTATTTGTCTATGCTTTTTAACTTTTGCAAGAGATTGAGAGACAGTATACATGGCAATAGGAACAACGATAATAAGTTTTACTTTCTTTTTCATCATCCAATTCGCTCTTTTGAATGCCTTTTTCTTTTCTCTTTGTTTAGGGTTTTTCTTTCAAGCGACACTGCTAGTGGACCAACTCACTGCAATGAACTTGACCAACGTAGTTCAGAACCATGCATTCTCTGATCAAGTCTTAATCCGGTCCATCATGGGCTAATTCGATGGAGGGCCTGGCTTTGCGGGGCAACAAGTTCAGGCTGGTGGTTAGGTAAAGACCGGGAGAAAGCAAGGAAAAGGAATTTTTCACATTTTTAGAGCTGAACAACGAGTCATGTCCATCAAACTTGCAAGTTATTGTGGATGCTGGTGTGGTTATTTTGAGCAAGCTAGTGGCGACTGGCACGTGCGTCGTGGTTGATGGAATATTGAAGTTGTCGCTTAAAGGAAAAGCACAAAGAATCATCGTATTTACCCTCTGTGAGAGTTTCTTCGCTTTTCTTCACAATTTTCTTCAAATTGTTGGAGCTTTGTTGTTGTGTAATCATTTGCTTCATTTCTTTTCTTTTTTTACCTTGAATGAATATTCTGATGTTGTTGTTGTTGTTGTTTTCGTAAAGATGTGTTTTTTGGGGCACTTGATGTGCAAAATTGAAGGAAACCATCAATCTGCTGAAATTAAATAGTTATAGATGTTTGTTCAGACTTTGTTGAAATTAAATTTGGTGCTCTTTGTTGTTTTCTTCAAAGTTCAAGTTGGGATTTTTTTACTATGATTTATTGACATGTTTGTCCTTTTATGCATATATGATTTCTGGTTTGTTTATATTTTTTTAGTTTTAGAAGCATTAAGCATCATTTAAATCAAATGAAATGAAGTTTTGCTAATGGATCTCTGCAAATAACCACAACTTTAGCAATGATGATAATGAAAATAAGTAAAGAGTTAAGTGTTTTCAGTACTATGCTTTTGGGGTTTTTTTTTTTTTTTTTGATCATTGATTTCTAGGTTTTGTGTTTGTTTTAGTTCAAAACTGAAGATTTAATGCCATAATGGATGACTTTGCTGAACCTGGATCACTTGCTCCAACTGGATGCAGAGATACAATGATCTATTTCAACGGGCAATGAAGTTGAATGAGAAGGGTTCATTGTCTCAAGTGAGCTACTATATTGCATTCCGAAGCCTGGAATAAACTTTTGGGAACTGTTTGAGTGCAAATACTTTTAACAAGAGCCTTGCTAAAGCTGCCACATCTCCCACCCAGGGTATGATCTGTATTGAAAAAGACAATGAAAGCTGAAGCACAAACAAAGCAAATAAGAAAAGAACCCAACCAAAAAAAGAAAGGTTAGAAATAGCCATTGGCATATGGATATATTTTTTGTAGATTCTGTTCCCAGTCCTTACTGAGATTTTTTTTTTTTTGTTTTTTGTTACAAGGACACTCAAAGCAGGAGGTAATGACTGTTGCAGCAACAGATGGCTTACAACAAATGGTTAGTTCTGTTTTATGAATCAGTAGCCTTGTGAAAGATGTTTTAATGATTTAAGAAACAGCCTTAAAAATTGAATAGCTATAAGATGATTGTAACTTTTTGAATCAAGGAAATTTTATCAGGCATGTGTAATAAAATTGGCCAAACTTTGATCACTCGAATTTTATTTTGCAGGAGAAATTAAGCTCAAGATCAATAGCCTTGGATGGTTATTTTGGCACACAACCTAGCGTTCAAGGAATGGTAAGAATAGTTACAATTGAATTCATTTAGTTTTATGTCAGTTATATACAATTTCATGCTTTATGCTTTTTGCAAGTTCAGCTTAATTTAATGGCACCACATGATAATTACTATGGGAATCAACAGATTATTCAGGGGCTGGTATTTCTCTTATTATTGAAACGTAATAAGCAAATAAGATACTCTATTTATCTAGTAAAGTGTTGTATTAAGGAAACTAATTTTGCAATGCAGGGTTTGCATTCATAGGGACAATTAAACACCATAGCAACGAGCCATGAAGGTTACTATGGCACTCAGTAAACCATGCCTGGGATGGTATAGTATCACTAGATTTGCATCTTTTTTCTATAGTAAAAATAATGGCATATTTTGGATCTTTGCAAGAATGAGCACTTTAGCTTTTTATTTTTTTAGCATCACAAAAATGTCACTGATAGTCTTGATTGAATATGAGCAATCTTATAGAATTATTTGATGTATTCCGTTGTCTTTGCAAGAATTAATTAAAAAGAGATACAATGGATTTATGCATTTGTGATACAAGGTCAAATTGCAAAAGAAAAGGATTACTCATGTGAATCACACTTGAACTTGCAATATGATTTACTTGGACTTGATGATAGGGGACAAATCTTCTTTTGTTCCCGGATTGGCTACTTGGACTTGATGACGGGACAATTCTCAGCGTAATTGTTGTCTATAGTTTTCCTTTAATAAAAGTAGAATACGTTTTTTTAAATATAATTGTTTGACATATATTTATTTTATTACTTCTTTTCCTAAAATCATGTTTGTTTTGTTACTCTTGGTTTACTGTCTATCACTGGTTTTTTATAGTTTTTCTTAAGGGTAGGATCTGAAACGCCATATCAAGTTGCAAACTGTTATTTACAGCATCTTGATTTCTTAACTGCTAAGCTATCACATGCTTATTTATCTTTTTCTTCTCTTTTATTCTATAAAAGGTTGCAGGGGAAATACCTTACAATGGTTATGGACTAGACAAGTTTAATCCTCACAAAACCTCAGCTTACATGAGCCAATATGATCTGTATACTCTAGAGATGACAGTGAGGGAAACACTTGATTTTTCTGCACGCTTTCAGGGTGTAGGAAGCAAAGCTGGTAAGTGCCATATATAAAAATGGTGATTTTGATGTAATTTACTGGTTTAATTTCTAATCTGTTTTATGCTTATGAAAGAAATAATGAAGGAAGTCAGCAAAAGAGAGAAACAGGCAGGGATAGTTCCAAATCCTAATGTAGATAAATACATAAAATGGTTTCTTTTTAGCTTATCTATTTTATTTTTAATGCTCAATTGGAAGTGGTCTTCCATTGTGATATACTTTTATACAGATAGAATATTGATAAATCAAAATGCTTTTATACCTTCCAATTAAGCCATTGCAAGTGCCTGTTTCTCTTTCTTACTTGGGAGCCAAATTGATCAACTAAAACATTAGAGTATCTTAATCCTTAGTAAAAACTGCAAGATTTGTAATTTGTTTTTATGATGCAATATGAAATTGACAGCCTTTTATCACATCACTAGGTGTAATTAACTGAACCAACCATTGAATTTTAGTCCATTTTCTTTCCTTTGATACATTTTATATTCATAACAACAATGAATAATGAATGATTATTCCCTAAACCATTGAAATCTAATCCTTAAAGAATTTATTACATAATTTCTATTCTTAATGTTCTGTACACCATTGATCCAACTATTATATTTCATACAGGCAATATCAGTTGAAAGTATGGAACTGAACCAACCATTGAATTTTAGTCCATTTTCTTTCCTTTGATACATTTTATATTCATAACAACAATGAATAATGAATGATTATTCCCTAAACCATTGAAATCTAATCCTTAAAGAATTTATTACATAATTTCTATTCTTAATGTTCTGTACACCATTGATCCAACTATTATATTTCATACAGGCAATATCAGTTGAAAGTATGGAAAGTACCCTTTAAATGAATTATATCTGATTTTAACTTGACTGTTTATTCTTTTTTGTAGGACTTTATTTGTTTGTAGGGAGTTGAATGCCATTAGAGATGCTTAGTCTTCCCTATCTTTAGTAATCTTTTGTTATGTAGATTATTGTTCTTTTAGTCCAAAATTCAATCATTTCATTATATTCATTAATGATTTTTATGCTTTGGTGGACTCGAAACATTTGTATATCTTTGCATTTATATTTCTAATAGACATTAAATATTGAGAATATCATGTGCTATACAAAACTGATTTCCAAGACCAACAAGCTGTTAATGTTTTATAAATTTAGATTTTTTACATTGATTTTGGATTTGTAATCAAAATACTTTCTGTTTACATTAGGAGTTACTTTCTCCAAACTAGATTGTAAAATGAAAAAAAAGCAAAAAAAGCATGCAATGCAACCTAGAGGATTAAGAAAATGTTTTGAGATTAAATGTTTGCTTTTTCCAGATCTCCATTGAAGATGTAATGTGGGCAATTCATCTAAAGTCATTTGACTATCAGGTGCTGAATCTTCTTCTATTTCACTTAAGAGGATAAAAGGTAATCTGCTATTTGCTTATTTATATGCATTTGCATCTTTTGCATGTTTGAGGGCATTAACATCTTTGCATCTTTCGCATAATCTGCATCTTGGCATCTTTTGCATAATCATGGCGGTCGTCATTACAGAGCATCTTTGAGGCTGGAAGCTGATAGTGTTGTTTTCAGGTTTCATTTGTAAGGTGAAGATTGGGTTTCGAGAATGGGAATGAACTGCCTCTTTCATTTAATGATGCTCTTCATGGTTAAAACCCCAAATTATGGAATATAGAAATTCACAAAATGAATGAAGGTGATAACCAAGATTTCCGATTTGTTCCCTCCTCCAAGTAAGTTGTAGGTTATAATATTTTCATAGTTAAAACAAGAACGCAGCATTGTGCGGACATGTTGACTAGTTCCTAAGGGAATCACTTTTTTTTTTTTTCTAATAATACGATCAAATTATTTTTAGATTTTGTTTGGCCTTTGTTTTCTTCAAATGATTTTAATCTTTTACATTAACACAATGCATTTATGATTTTGTTCTCTAAGAGTTCCCAAAAAATCGAATCTTGATGGACAAATAAACACGATGTTAATGTGTGAAACAAATAAATTTGCTATTTTTTTTTTTCAAAATGACTGGATTGCCCGAGGACAAAAACCATGCGAGAAAGCAGTAGTATTTGCATCGCTAAAATGTCAGAAGAAGCCAATCGTCATTTTTTGGATATGAAAATAAAAGTTCAACCACATTTTCTTGACTCTTCAACCAAAAAAAAAAAAAAGTTCCTTTCATTGACAATAATAAAAAAAAAAAAGATCTTTTGGAAATACCTCATGCAACTTCTCTTTCCATCTTCATCTTCTTTGGGCATATAAAATTTATTAGTAATATCTTCCATATATTGATGGTGGAAACATCACTGCCTAACATTCAGGATTTAGTTCTCTTTTCCCTTCCATATTGATGATGATTTTAATATATTGTTGTCGCTTTTTGGCGCAGCATGGATCTAATAAATGAGCTAGCTGGTCCTGTTAATACCAAACTTTGAACAAAAATCTCATTCATGACTTGCCCATTTCTGCTAGGCTTTTAGAAATGATTGAAGCAAATCACTTAAAGCCTATTTTTATTTTGTCACAGTACTTTGAATTTTATAATTATACCTTCGATTTTGTTAATTTTTAAATTAAAAAAATAATGGAATTCAACAAAACTCTTTACTTGCATTAATTGAAAAATATTTTAATTTTATTACTTTTTATTCAGAAATCCATAAAATTAAAATATAGTAATCAAATTCATTAAATTTGACCGTAATCTCAAATTTCAGTGTCTTTCTCTAACATTAGGGCGTCGTCTCATTATCTACTTTGTTGAGCTAAGGGAGTACTCCGTTTTATTGATAAAATAGAGTTCATAACCCATTATTATATCAGTCCCGCTGTCATTCTTACTAATTGTGCACCTTCTTTCTTTAATTGTTCATTTAAAAAAAAATTAAGGACTTACCTAAATTTTTAGAACATTTGTCACTATAATTGAAGTTTCAAAACCCAAATTAAAGAGAGCTGTCATCTACATTAATACTTTTATAGTTGTGACCACAAATTAATTCATTTCATTTATGGTTATAGAGCTAAACTGTATACAATTTAAAACTTAGAGATGTCTTTTAGAAAAGGGCTAGGTTTTCCTATCCAACAAATTAAAGGAGGTATGAATATGATATTGTAAGAGTTATAACTAAATACACAAATCAATTTTCTATCCAAAAAAACACGAGAAAACATTTTGACAGACTTATAAGATGAGAAATGCATCTTTAGTTTCCGATTATCTTTTTTTTTTTTTTAAATTAATATTATTATTTTTGTGGTGTTTGTGAATAGTCTAACAAAACAACATTACTCTTTTAACATTTTATCATTTTAAATTTTCTTTTTTTTTTTTTTTTGTGAATTTTCATTTTAAGGATTTTGCATATCTTGTTACATGTCATCCTTATCGGAGGTTGTTTAGTGAACTTTACTAAGCTTGAGTAAGGAACCCTCACTTAAAAATTAATTTTTCCTTTGTTGGACTTCAATTGATACAAAAAAGAAAAGCTTATAAATGTTAAAATTTGATTTTAAATTTGTTAAATATTATTTTTAAAAATAATTATATAAATTAATTGAAATAAAATTTAAGTTCAACTTTAAAAATAATATTAATTGCAAAGAAATCGTGTTGTTTTTTTTTTTTTTTTCTTTTGGCTTGAGCATAAAAAAAGCTCTTGAATCAAAATTAAATGACAAATAAAATTTTTATTATTTTACTACAATCAATTAAAATTTTAAATATCTATTTTACTAATTAAACTCTTTTTAAATAAAAATTAATTAACTGTCAACACCTATTTCCATCCAATTGAGTTCAATTGAATGAAAGTAAATATTTAAGATTTCAATTAGGTAAATATGAATGTTTATGAACTCAATTGGATGAAAATAAATGTTTAAGACTCAATTAATTAAAAATAAAATGATAAAAACTTGTAAAATTATTTAATCCTTAATAAAGATTTTTTTTTCTATAGGGGGCAAATAAAATATTTTAAGACTGCAATAAAAATTGATTTTTTTTTGTTCTAGTACATATCTTTGATTTATAAGTGAATTTAGCTTAGATGTGTAAAGGAATTGGCCACGTCAAGCTTGATTGATAAAAATGGAATTGAATCAAATTTTGATTGACATCATTAAAAGTTTAAATAATTTATTCATAAAAGTTTATTTAATTTAAATTTAATATTAAAAATATTATTATCGGTCAAATAAGATCGCATTTGAAAAACTTATTCAAAACCTGAACTAGACCATGCCAAGTGCACAAGTCTAGCAGACTATTTGACTCATGATCAGGTCAAATTTTAACCTTACGTCATGAATGAAATGTTATTCAATTTAAAAATTATCAAAAGAGTTATGTTGAGGTCAATTACTATTGTGATGATCAAAGGGAAACATTTGTGCATTGTAATATAACTTGTCACACATAAAGATGGGACATAGAATATTGAAATCAAATAATGAATATGGTCCTTCCATTTCAGCAATGAAACTGATTTCAAATCCATGCCAGCCAAGACAAATCAGTGGTCAAACAAACTTACCCGAGGATCTATCAAGTAGAATATTTTTTTGTCTTTTAGAAGACATCCAAAACTAGGAAATACCAAAATCACTCAAATGAAAAATACCACCAGAAAAATGCGACCATTTTGCGGTTGAACTGCTTTCCCTCGATATTTTAATGTTACACTATTTTCGATTTAAGCATTGAATTTATGATTACTATATAATACATCATAGGTAAGAGTTTTGAAATTTTACGATCAATATTAGACTATTATCATATATTTCACTAGCTTCTTTTACCCATGCAATGCATGGAATTTTTTATTATATTTTTTATAATTTAAATTTTTAATTTATATTAATTTTATATTATATAAATAAATAAAAATATTCATAATCATTTATAATTTGGAATGTAAAATTACAAAAGTCATATATATAAAAATTATTATGAATGAATCAAAATAAGCATTATGAAAGTTTTGAATTATGAAAGTAAAATTATATACAAATCTCAATAAAAAAGTTAATCTCTAATTCACGATTACATATTTTTAAAAGTATATATTATTTTAGTATAAAAACTAAGATTTACACATATGATATATCATAAAAGATTTTTTTTTATATTTGATTTTAAAACTTTATAATGTCAAACTTTTATGACAAATATCTATTGCTCTATCTTTTATAAAGAAAAAATATTGATTGTGAAAAAATCATAAATATATATTTGATAATTATTTAATTTTAAAAAATTTTATATTTTTAAAAATGTAATTTATCCAAGTTTAATTTTGAATTAAGATAAAGAAGTTACTATAATTTTAAATATAGATATATGTTTAATTTTAAATTAAGATAAAATATATTTTTCTTTTATTTTAAATCATAGAAAAATAAAGACAAAAAGATTATTAAATAATAGTGATTCAACCACAAATTTTATTTATTTAAATTTATGTGAATATTAATTTAGATGGTATGTGATTTTTTTATAATTACCAGGATTTAGGGATTTAACTTTTAAAAAAATTTGTATTTCATATAAATGAGTAAAAGTAAGATATAATATATATTTTTTCAAGTTTAAATTAAGATAAAATTTATATAATTTGAAAGCTCTTGATATATGTAAAATTTAAAACTTTAAAATTTTTAAAAATTGAATAATTAATTGGATAAAATTATTTAAAACTATCTTACGTGTCAATAATTTAAGTTGTCCACCTAAGCATCCTCATAAATAAATTTTATTATATTTTTATAGATATTGTAATATGATATTATATATGATTAAATATTAATAAATTAATATAATTTTTAAAAAGACATATATTAATATTTTAATATTATTTATGAAATTTAAAATTCTTTGGTAATATATAGAATAATAATCCTTGAATTTATTGTGGATTTATGTTCAAATTATCACTTCATTTATTTTAAAACTATTTGAAGTTGAATATTTAGTATTTAACTTTAGATTGTCAAAAATTTTTAATAAACTTTTTCTTAGAAAAATTACATAAGAAGATTTGCTTCATCTTTCAACTATTCTACCCTGCTGTTTTAGTTTTTAAATTCAATAAATGACATTAAAATATTATCGCATGGTCTTTTATTCATAATATTAATTTATTAATTATTTTAGATATATTTTAATAAGTTAAGTGCTAGCTTTTTAACTTCATTAGTAAAGTTTAAAAATTCTATTGATGGCGTAGGAATTAACTTGTCATACTATTTTATCTAATACGTTCAAGCACTCACAAAATGAAAAAAAAAAATAGTCAAATACATACAGTAATGTTTCACATTCCATCCATTATTTGTCTATTGTACATTTTTTAATCAATACATGATTGAGTTTGAACGTACTAATCAATTAAAATTTTAATATAATATTAGAGTTCATTTTGATACAAGAAAAATAAATTTTTTTAATTTTACAATTAAAATTAAAATAATAATATATTTTATTTTTAATTATTTTTTATATCTTAAAAATATATATTATCTTATTAATGTCACTTATAAAATTTAAAAAATTTAATGACAATAAATGTTGAAATAATTTTTGTAATATGTTTTCAACTTCTTAACTTAATGACCAAAAAATTCTTAAAAAATATCAAGATTAAGGTTTGATCTCACCCTTCTCTCCTCTCTTTGTTGGAGGGTTCTACCCTCCTTAAACACCAAAAAAACAAATTGTAATATTATTTGATATTTAAAAAAAATTCCTTTTACTGTAGACAGCAATTCAACAGTTGGCTTAGAAAACGACGAAAGACCGAAATTCAACTTTTTTTTATTTAAAATCGTTGCAGGAAACATGGAAACTCACGTGTTTATTTCTTTATTATTATTTCCCCTAATTATTACAACAGTCAACAGCTTAAGTAAAAGTTACTGTTTGGTTTGTTTTCACGATAAACCCAGCACGTGAACCTAAACCACTTTGGCTTTGAGACTGTTGAGGTAATTAAAAAATTGCTTAATTTTATCCACGTGGTAGTATAATTAAGCGATTATTGAAATTTTTTGTATTAGTCAGAGTAGGTTTTGAAAATTTCGGTGAAGGTTTTTGTGAAAAAAATTACAAAAGAGAGTCCTAGGCAAAAGCTACGCGTAAGGACAGCGGGAGACAGATAGACGTAGACTTGACGACACGAGACAGCCTGTCCCTCGTTTGTTTTCACTTTCGTCTCTCATTCCATAATTTTTTTTTTTTTTGAAATTTGCATTCATATTTTAATTTTAAATATATATCTTCTTAAAAAATAAATTTCATAAATACACCGTATAACCAATGTCAAAATAAAATATCTGAAAATTAAAAATATAATATTTAATTACTTTATAACTTATTTTTTATTTTTTATTTAAAATTATTATTTTTTTATTTTTTATTTAAATTTATATTATTTTTTTAAAATTTATTTTTTTCTCTAAACTCAAATTAATTCATAAATAATAACCTTCAAATCATCAAAATCTTCCCATCACCACTATTATTATCATTACAATATCACGCCATTACCAAACTTTTATCTTTTAACTTTTTTTATCAAAAAGTCAAATTTTTTGTTCTACTATAAGTCACAGTAACTCTTCTTCAACATCTAGAACTCCTTCGCCGTTTTGGCCTCCATCTCTAAACAATTGAGAAATAAAAGGTCTTTTTTTGCATCCCGTATAGTTACTTTTAATCATGACGTAAGGATTGTTCGGCATCTTAATGGTTTTATGGCTGTCAAAAGCATTCATAAAAAATAGCCTATGACCACATGCAGCTTGAAAAATTGCCTATTATGGTAAAACACTATATTGATTTCAATAAAAGAAAATCTAAATCGATGGAAAAGAACGAGGTTTTTGTTTCTAGATAGAAAAAGATTTTGACAGAGGAATGCAAATCTTCATCAGGCATCCCATTGATGATCATATAAGTTTTAATTCAAGTAGTTCATTGGAATCTAAAAAAAAATTAAACCAAGCGTTTGTACTAATTTTTCAAATAGTATGTGCACAGGTAGGCTTTATGTTGAAGCCAAACAAAGTTTCACCAATGAAGAAAATAGTGAATGCGTAAGCAGTGTCGAAAAGTCTGGTGAAAGTGTTGAAGTGAGTAAAAAGACAAGAATTTATAGAGGGAGCACCAGTAGTGATGTTAGTGATGAAAACAGCTCTAGTTGTCTAAGCAGTACCATTTCACAAAAGCAAATGATATAAGATGGGAAACAAATCAAGTTGTTAGATGGGGAGATTTGGACTTTAAGCATTTTAGGGTGCGGAGGAGTCTAAGATGTGGGGATTTAGGCAGTGTTTTATCTATTAGAATTGACATAATGGTAATGGTACTGCAGAGATTTTGGTGATTTAAAGTTGTTGCTTGTGAATTAATTTGGGTTTAAAAAAAGAATTAATTTTGTTTTTAAAAAAATAAAATTTTTAAAGAAAAAATATGAATTTAGATAAAAAAAATATTGAAAAAAATAATAATTTAGATAAAATATAATAAAACAAATCATACAATAATTAAGCATCACGTTTTAAAATCTTAAAAAATACTTTTATTTTGACTTAATTACATAATATATTTATAAAGTTGACTTTTTTTAAAAAATTATTTTTGAACAAAAAAGGAATGATATGAATGCTGGATACTAGGAGATATGAATATTGGCTTTTGTAGTACTAAAATACTTGTTTGGGGTATTTGTATATTTTATTGTAAGTATTTTATATTAAATATGTTTAAAGTATAAAAAGTAATGAATTATAATTTATGTTGACATTTAAAATGTGAAATATAATTTTTTATTTTTATCAAATCCTTGTATACTTTTTATTAAAAATTTAAATTATATTTTTTAAATGTTGTTTTCATGTTATTTTTATATTATATCAATACCTTATTTTAAATTATTAGATATAAATTTAATAATATTTTTAATTTAAATTATATGAAATGGATCTAACACAATTTTTTTCTTAATACATGAGTTATAATTGTAACTCATTCTTTTTATTTTAAATATCAATTTCTTTTTAAAAAAATCATAAAGTCGAATTTGAGTTCTTTGGGTAAGAATTTATTAATATTTTATTAAATTAGCATTTTCTAGCATTTTAAATTATTTAATGATTTAATGATTCATGTATGAATATAAATAAAACTCCATTCATTTCAAATTAAATGATCATAAAACTTGAAATATTTATTTTATATTTTTATAAAAATGGAATATCAATGTTTGACTTGGTACTTAGATTGAGAAAAATTCTCAATACCTAAAATGCTTTTAATTTAATGTTTTTTTTACTAAAATTTGAAAATTTTTGCTAATACAAAAGTAAAAGAAACATTAAAGTTAATATGAAATTTGAAAAAAGTTTTAGGACAGCTTTGAAAAACCCTTAAAAAATGGATAATGAATGATGAATATGAAATAGAGAATATTATTTTAGAAATAGAATAAATTTACATTATTTTTCATTTTTCTCTCTTATGCTTTTATTTTTAGAATTTTTTTTAATAATTATATAGCAATTGATGATGTAATGTAGATTAAATTTTTTGACATCTATTAAAATTTTATTAAATATTCATATTATATTCACAAGTAAATTGATGATATTAACCTTAGATACTAAAATAAAAGATAAAATAAAATTTAAATATCAAATTAAAAATTTTAATTTTTTATTAAATTAATAAAAATGTACAATAAGTAATCATTTTTATATTTAACAAAAAAAAAAAGAAAGAGAATATGAAACAAAAGAAAAGATGTGGTATTCTTTTTATTCCACTATTTTAGATTGTTATTGTTATTATATATTTTTTGGGTATTCGTAGCATAGCTGGAAGAAGCAATGCAAGAGTCAGAACCGCTCACTCGCTTCAATTTAATTTTTTCATTAGACGGACAATTTGACCGCAAAAAAAAAAAAAAATTCCTTCAGTGCGCGTGAAGCTGCTCTGCACGGCAGCAACAGCAGCAGCCGCAGATTAGGCCCTTTCAAAGCGTCCCTTTTCACTGCCAAATGCCCACTTCATCCACATCCATCGAAATCCTTTTCCTCCCCTCGATCTTTTCAAACAAAAACATCTCATTTCTCCATACACTCACTATTTTCCTCAGTTCCTTTCGCTTCTCTCCTTTTCTTCACCTTCACTTTTGTTCTTCTTTTTGATCCCATAATTCCCTTCTTTTTTGAAACGAATCATTTTACATTTGCGTCAAGACATATAAAAAAGAACAAAAACCCTTTCTTCTCTGCTCTCTTCTCTCACTTTCTCAACTCTTCCTTCGCTTTATTGTACGTCCTTTTTTCTCTTCGTAGATTCCTCTATTTCTTTTGCTACATTGCCCTTTTTAACCAGTTTCAGACATTTCTTTGCTATGTAAAATAAAGGGTCTTTTTCTTCTGTTCTTTCTTGGCTATTTTTTTGGGGTTTAGATTGTTGGGTATCAGTGAACATGATTTAAACTTGAGTTTCTTTTGAATTTTTTAAAAAACTTTTCTGGGTTTTTTGGAAATGTCGGTGGTAAGAGAAATGAATGAGCAGACAGAGAAAACGGCGTCGGCTTTGGCTATAACGGAGAAGAAGCCTCATAGGACTGGTGGCTGTGTTGGCATTTTCTTTCAACTCTTTGATTGGAACAGAAGAATTGCAAAGAAGAAACTTTTCTCCCGAAAATTACTTCCTCCTGGTAAGCTTTTTTATTTTTTAAATGCAAAATTCCCCTTTTGACTAAAAAGGATTGAACTTTTTTCAACTGAATTGTTTCTTAGCCCGTAGCAAAGCTTCGAAAAAATTTGGAGGAGATGAAAAAATGCCCAAATCCAAGCTTCATTTGGTATGTACTGGGATCTTTGGTCTCTTTGGTTTCTTCTTTTTGGAAAGTTATTATTTATGTTTAGTTACTTTTTTTGTTACTATAAAAAAAATAAATTTTATGTTTATGTGGAATTGGTAGATTGCTGATGAGAATAAAGGGGGATTTCCAAATGTGAAGAAGAATATCAAACATAGTAATGGAGAAACGGAACAAAAGCATGAAATGCGAGCTCCAGGTTTGGTTGCTAGGCTAATGGGACTAGAATCCTTGCCTGCTGTGAAAAGAGATAAGTCTAATAAGAAGGCCCTGGTTTCAGGAAGTAATTCCGATGTTAGAGATGGTAAAATGTTGAACAGTCAAAGTGGGGCTAATGGGGAGGCTTTGGCTTTGGAGAAGAGTGGAGTGAAAATTGAAGCAAGTCCTCAGAAATTACAGAAGATAAAGCCATATGATAGACGGGTGGTTCCTAGGTTTGGAGCTGAGGCATTGCAAATTAAGGGTGTTTTGTCGCTATCTAAAAAACATCATCATCAAAAGTTTGTTTCTCCTGTTAAGTGTCCAAGGATTTCTTCCGCTAGGAATGCATCTAGGGCATCTAGGTTGATTGATGCTGCTGCTAAAATTCTGGAACCTGGGTTGCATGCGACAAATAGAGCCAAATATGCTCTTGCTTATTCAAGTTCTATGCATTATTCATCTAAGAATGAGGATGTAACTAAGGGAATTGGGGTTCTCTCACCTGATGTTTTGAAACAATCGGGATGTAATGTTATCACTGGTAAGTCTCCGATGGGCCAGATGTCTTGCAAAAACTGTGGTAATTTGCTTGATGAGGAGTATAGAGCAAAGTTGGAGGAGCAGCAATTTATTTATCCAGCCTTTGCTCCGAATTTCATAGATGCTTTTTCTCAAGGATTAGAAAAGAATTGGCCAAGGTCTTCCCCATCCACATTTAGTCAAGGGAAAGAGGTAATTTTTGAAAGAGGCAATGATCAACCATTATCTTCTACTGGTCAAGAAGAGAGCAACGTTCAGTCCAGTAATGTTTCCGATGCGTTTAGAAAGCCTCTATCTGGAGAAGCTCAAGCTCGATGGCATTTGACAAGCCAACTGGGCAAACCTCCAAAGAATGAAAAGTCTCCTATTTCTTTCAAGCCCAAGACTCAAACTCAAAACCATATATTGCTAGACAGGGATAGAATCCCAGCAAGGGCTAAATTAAATAAACTTCAAAGTAGGAGAGCCGCTTCTGCTGCAAATGCTGTTAGTGGAGCCAAAGATTTTGTTGCCCTGAACAGAAGTTTAACTAGTTGCACCAGACACAGAGTGCCAATCAAAGTGGATAGTTGTCCTATTGACATTCAGAGAAAATCTTGTAGTCATCAGGATGATTCCTTGTCTCAGTTAAGGTCTCCGGTAAGAAAGAGGAGAAGAATTAGAGTTAATGGGCAAGCTGAAAGTGCAGGTTTCATCAATTCGACAATTGGAAAAGAAAGAACTGCAAAATGCAATCCAGTGACTAGAAGAGATATGGTGCATGCTGCTTGCACCGTGGATCGGATATGTGTTAAGAGCAGATCAACAAGCCAGGAAACTGGTAATGGAGCCAAGGACAAAAATGACACTGATATTATTTCTTTCACATTTAATTCTCCATTAAAGCAAAAACATGTCATTTCCAGGGAATTGAAGGATGAAGGAAAGGATCAAATTGACATTAATTGTAGAAATGATTCTCTTCAGAGAAGCGAAATATTGGAAGATAATTATGGAGAAACATCTGTGCAGAAGAATTTGCCACTGGCAGGAGATGCTCTAAATGTTCTTTTGGAACAAAAATTGAAGGAATTGACTTCTCAAGAGGAGTATGAACTGAAAACAGGTTGTACTCTACCAAAGAGAACAACTGCCATGATTCTCCAGGAGCTAATTTCAGCTTTAACTTCAGAGCAGCCTAACTCTCAGAATGGTCACCTGTTCAATTCAGATACGGTTTTCCAGGTTGTTTTCTCCTTCTTCCTTTAGTTTCTGCGGTTCTTGACAAAATGTAAAATCTGCTATAGTGTCTGTTTTCAATTTTATGTTGTATGCTTTGGTCCCAACTTGCATTTTTAGTTGTCTTTCACAATGACAACTTTCTTGGTTGTTTTGAAGTACTGCTTAATAGGGGTAAAATACATGTAGGAAGATCTTAAGAATACTTTTTCACCAACCCCATTACCAGGGTGTGGGCCTGGAGTTCTTATTACTTGAGTGGGATCAGGGTCCAGGTCCCTCCTCCCAAAGGAAGAAACCAAAAAAAAAAAAAAAGGGAAAAAAATGAAAAGAAAAGATTGAAAGTCTACTCTTGTACTGGTCATTGAAAGGTTTGAAGGACATTTTCCATGTTATTACATTTGGATACATAAACTGCCTAGTTGCTCCTGAACTGCTAAAAGTTAATTGAAGAGTTAACACTGCCTTTAGGAATTAAGATTTGCTGGAGTTTGCAAAATCTTCAATTTAATACAAAATATTTGCCCCAGATTCAACCCAATTTAGTAGAAAAAAGATTGGTGTAGCTTAGCTGAATTTGTTTCAATTGAAGCTCATAATTTGAACCCTTCCTCTAATCTTTGTGGATGTTGTTCTTATCTGATAGCTACTGTGTAACTTTCAAAGAGTTATATATATATATATATATATATATATATTATGTTTCTTTTACTGGGTAGACAATTGTTCCAGAAATATGATGGCCCCTGCTTTTATTGCCAATCTGTATATTTTATGTTGCTTTTACATTATTTTTGCAACTTCATTCTATTTTTATTGGATCTTCTTTGGTAAATATTAATTAGGATGAATATTTTTTGGCTGTTAGTATGTTTCTTAAATGTATATCTTGCCTTGTGGCTGAAAAGCTTTTGTATTCCTGTAGATAATCCTTTTAATTTTTGTGCTTTGCTTGAGGTTTGTGCTAAAACAACAGCTATTCCTGGCATTTATAAGTTTTAACTTTTTTATTTCTTAGACCGACGCAAAGGCTGAAGGGACTGCTGCAGTTGGATTTGTGAGCCATGGTGATAATTTTAGCCCAGGTTCTGTTCTTGAAGCTTCATTTTCAAATGATAGTTGTGTTTCAAGCAGCCTGGATGGAAGCTTAGGTAAAAACTTTAAGTCCTAAGCCTCAAAAGCTCCCTTTTATTTTTGTCTGTGTGCAGATATGTGCATGCTATTCAAGTAACTTGTTTGGCATTGTAGTTATAGAAATGCAGATTAAATGAGTTTATGCTGAACTCTGATTAGACCGGCTAAGTAATTTATTTTCTTTACCACCTCAATAATGTGCTTTTTCGATTCCCCTCCTTCCTCACAAAAAAGAATGGATGATTCATTGTAGTTTTTTTGCATTTTTACTTCTTGCTCCAGGACTTAGGTTGCATCTGGATTCCATGGATTCCTTATATGATGAACCACAACAAACAGAACCTGATAAAGATCTTCTGGATTCTGCAGCTTCATTGGACAGAGAGACATTTGGTAATGAGATGATAACTGATCTTGTCAACCGAATTTCCGTTATGTTGCCTGTCATCAGTAATTTTGGTCTTGGATTATCCGGAGACAAGCTTATCCATGTAAAGGAGGCTATCATGAAAGCAGAACTGTTGTTTGGAAATGTGATTCCCCATGATTCAGATGAGACAGATGATTTTCTCTTGGAGCCCTATGTACATTATGAAATTGAAACTCTTGCTGGTGCTATGTGGATAGATTTTAATTCTCTTCTTGGTGTTGAACAGACCAAAGAAAATAATCAGCTTAGAGGATTTCTCTTTGATTGTGCAATAGAGTGTTTAGATTCCAAATATGGTCGATACTGTAACTCTGGATTTGAAGCGTGGAAAAGCCTACCATTTTACATGAACTCACGAAAGCTGATTCAAGACGTTGCGAACGAAGTTAGAATGTGGACAAGGTTGGCTGGGATGGTTCCTGATGAGTTAATAGAATGGGAGATGAGTTATTCACTGGGTAAATGGACAGATTTTGATATCGAGGCATATGAAACTGTTGCTGAAATGGACTGGGATATTCTTCGAAATTTAGTCGAGGAAATTGTAGTAGACCTGGTTCCCCCTTGAATTACATACAGGCCCTATGATTTGAGTGTCTTTGTAAATCATGTTGACATGCAACCACTTAATTCTCTTTGTGATGAAATTAAGATGGTAATTTTTTGTACAAATGGGCCATGGATGGGATGGTATTGTTGCCTGGGGCCATGGGATTTGTAGATGAGCATTGTATAATCTTCTGACTTGGATGTAACTTGTTCTGAAATAGCTGAACAACGTGGAATAGTCTACTGATTAATAGTTGTTTTAAGTACTAAAACTGGAAGGTAAAGATCCTCGCACAAAATTTTCTTCTTTTGCGAGGAATATGCTTGGTACTGATCAATTCCTATTCCTAGGTTACTTGCTGGTGCAAAAACTTGTAAAAAAAAAAGTGAAAGAAGGAAAAAACACATCTTTTGTTTGGTTTGGTCTTTTTCCTGAAGACTTGAGTAGCAAAAATACAGGAGATGACACACTAATTAATTGGAAAGTTGATTGAAAATGGCTCTTTGTGTGTTTGGCTTGTTCATGTTCAATCTTGAATTTGTTGAAGAAGTCAACTTTAGTTCTTCCCATTTTTTTTCAAACAAAGATTAGCAACTCCCGTTATGAACGATGCACATTATATTTGCATTTCATATTTAATTTAGTTAAATCATGAAATCATTTTAAAATTAAAATTTAATATAATTAAATTATATAATTATTTTTTAAAATATAAAATTTTAATAAATTAAAAATTCAAATTCAAATCTCAAAATTTACAATTTATTTTTTTTTATCTTTAATTATATTAGTAATTGATGCGTAAAACATGATTGCATCTAGAGCTTTACAATGGAAAAAACAAACTTAGCAAGAAAAGAATTCATAGCCTCAAACCTCTCTGACATGTGGGAACAAGTAATCAAGTCCTTGGAAAAAAAAATCCAATCGAGAAACCCAAAAGAGAAAAAAAAGAAAATTGTTTGAAAACCAAAGTGAAATTCAGTCTTTTTTTTTTTCTTCTTTTTCTAAAACTGTCTATACCCCAAAACAGTTTTGTTATTACCAGCAACTCCTCTCCCACTACTCTTCCCTCCCCTGTTTTCTCCATTGATAGCATTAGCTGCCCTCATTGAAATCCCTTTCAATTCGTCAACATTAGCATAGCTCTTCCTTGCCATCATCAACCTTCCTTTCTTCTCCCCCGCATTGGCAGACTTACTCCCCCTGGAATTCGACAACACCCCATTCCCTTTTGACCAATTCTTTCCTGGTGGTGTCAATTCAATCCCATCGTTAACTGGCGGCTTCCGATTTTCTTTCCTCAAAGTTGCTGAAAAATCAGGCACTGATTGAGCCAAAGCAGAGGACACTTTCCTAGAAATCCCGAAACTTGAATTAAACTTCACTTGTTTCTTTGTTGGGGTTTGTTTAAATTCAATTTCTTCCCTTTCTTGTAGCTTACCAATCTTCATTCTCAGCTTTGTTTCTCTCAACTCTGCATATGCTCTATATCTAGGACCTCTTTCCATTATATAACTCTCTGTTGTAAGCCTCAAAGGAATTGGATTACTGGGGCTTGAGTTCTGAGAAAGAATGAGAGAAATAGGGTCAAGGGCATGGCAAAGAGATTGCAGAGCAGGATTTGGCTGATGGGTTTGCCACTGAGATTCAGTTGTCCCTGCCATTTTTTATGAAACTTGAAGATTTACTCTGTTCTTTATCTGCAGAAAAAGAGAGTTGTTTGAATTAAAAAAAAAAAGGGATTTATTTTGATATTAAAAGAGATTTGAGTTTGCAACGGTCTAATAAAAAAGAGAAGAGGGAGAGAAAGTCTCGCGACGAAGTTTTGATCATTTATTTTTATTTTTCACTTTTTTTTCTTAAATTTATTCGCTTTGTTTCTAACGTCCTTATTTTGAAGTGAGTCCCAAATCCCGATGAAAAAATAATAATAATTGTGAGAAAGGAACATATGGGTTACTCTATCAGCCGTTTGATTAAAAATTTAAAATCATATTATTGGAATAATTTTATGATGGGTCATGATTTGGGAGATTGGCTAATGGGGGTAACTTCCTGGGCTAATGCAATGTGCAACGGATTGTTTTTTTTTTTTTTTTTGTGGTTGTGGTTTTGACAAAAAGTTGTTTTCTCAATAGCGGCAATTTAAAGGCTTTACATTTGGATCCAAATTGTGCATCCTCCTCCCTCTAAATCCTCGTGATTTTTTTTTTTTTGGGTTTTATAATTTATTTTCTCTATATTATTAGATTTTATTTGCTTTCTTTACATAACTTTTTTTTTTAATATACAAACTTATATAATAACTGTAAACATTGAATAATTATTATATTATTAAATAATGATGAAATTTTAATCAATAAAAATAATAATGTGATTGAGGTTCCATTTACAAGTATAATATAAATGTTCTCATTATATTAAAGAGTATGTTTTATGGATGAACTCAAATAAAACTTGAATCGTGTCTATTTACATAAAATTACACTATAACAAAATTTTAGATGGAGAAAAGAATTGAATGAATGAAAATGGAGACTTAAAACTAGAAGTATTTTTTTTTCGTTGTGTAATAGATGGGTCTAAGTGATTAACTAGTGAATAAGAAATGTATGGTGGATTAGGCTTTTCTCCTCCCTTTTTTTTTTTTTTTTGTTTTTTTGATAAAAAGCAATGGCTGTGCTGTCAATCAGTTGTCTTCTAATATTAACTTTGACACCGTCTTACTACAACTACGAGCCTCATCAAACCCATGAATCAAGATGTAAGAATACCACCAGACATGATTTATAGCCTTTCTATTGGGGTAACACTTCATGCACCTAAAAAGGCAATTTTTGGTATGGAATCAATATAGATTTTTTTTTTATTATTATCATTACATGATCTGTTACTATGATTTAGACAAGGGTAAAATAATTTTTTACCAACTTGGAGATATTTTAAGGCTATTAAAGTATTTTAATTTTTTTTTTATCGATCTGATGTGACAATTTTTAAGAGAGAAGCTTTTCTCATACATTATCGATATTCTCGAATCTGCACTTTCTTAGGCGCCGACATGGATAATCACATCGTACCTCATATTTCACTTCATCATATATACGTGTCACTTTAAGTATTGAATAATCACATCACACCTCATATTTCACTTGATCATATATACGTGTCACTTTAAATATTTAACATTTGTAAGGCTATGTCAGATAGAACTCGATTGCATCAGCTCAGGTATAAGTGTCTCATTTCCCCCGCTAATCTTAAGGCTCTCATTTCTTTCATTTCCTCTGATTCCTTTGCCATTTTTTTTATTCCTCCTCTCTTCCTTGGATCCATTGACTTGGAGCACATAGAAATCACTTACTCATGCCGTTGTTATTCCTTTTAGGTGCTTACCTCGAAACCATTTTCATCCCAAACCTCCGATACTCAGTTCACAATCCAACTCAATAATTGTTGTACGCCTCCCCCCCCCCCCCCTCTTCAAAACGTTAAGTTAGAATCTTCTCATGGTTTGATCTATAATCCTACCAAGGATGATGCAACTCTATGCCTTCGAAAGTTGGTAGAGCAGGCAATGGCATTGGCAGCACAGCATTTAAGATGTTGAAATAATATTCCATTCCTGAAATTTTTTCAGCTCTAGACTAGGGAATAACTATTTTGTTAAGACTGCTAGAATACTTTTAACACAATATCAACTTTAAAAATTTATTTTTCAGTAAACTGACATTACATACATAGTTTGTAGCAATTACTTTGAAAAGAAAATATATAAACAGATTGTGCTAAAAAGGTAAAACATATCAAATACATAGTTGAACCTTGTTTTCTAATGATCAAACTTTGTGATGCTTCTGTCCTAAATTAAATCTTGTGATTTTTTGGTTGAATCCATTGAGCACTAGGGTCCTCAGCCTCAACTCCCAGCTCCAATGCTGCATCAATCTGTCAAAATGGCCACTAACAGTTGAAATTATCAGAGCCAGAGAGAGATATTTCCACGTATTAAAAGATTAAAACTGCTTAACACATTAATCCAAGTTCAACTTTGATTTTATTTTTTAAAGTCGAATGAATCAAATATAACGCACCTAATTGAAGAGCTGAGTTTTCTGTGCGAGAGTATAATTCATTAAACATTCTGAGGGAAAACATTAAAGCAACCTGGCATCGATGTTCTCACTGTAATATAGGCAAGAGACAACTAAACCTTGCAGACTAGTTGAACTCAGTAATAATATGCCTGATTTTGCTCCACCAAACTGAACTTCTGCAGAAGATAAGCTTTCATGTCAATAGCAGAGGTGGATTTCCAATGCCTGAAGCATAAATAACTCTTTTAGAATTATGGAACTGTGAATCATTAAATGCATCTAATCTACCTTTTAGAAGTAACATCCGTTTATCAAGCAAATACTCATAGTTAAATAAAAGGTGGTGGTATTCTAGGAGCCCACCTATGCATAAGTCACGACGCCTATCACACTCTTTACTCTGCAACAAGAGAGCACATGTTAATGATTTTGAATTTCCATTGGTTAAGCAGGGAGAAAGGAAAAGATGCAATTAAATAAAGAGACAGGAGAAACAACTTTGAGATTTATTTATTAGTCCTTTGCATTAGGATGCAAATATGATCTAGTACTGCTCAAATTGATAAGATGAAGATAGCTCAATGAAAATGTGGACTGATATCAAGGACAAATTCTAGAACAAAGTAATGATTTGGCAATAGAGATATGTCCAAGCAATCAAGTCCATAATTACCAGTGGTAGAACCAGAATTTTTTTTCGGGATTATCTACTTATAATATATATAAATAACTGTTGATGAATTTACCGATTTTACCGATGGAAAGGGTGTCCAGGGACAACTTTCCTTCAATTTTTCTTATTTTCCAATCTTCATGAACACCCTAACAAAACATGTGGATCCGTCCTTGATAATTACTGAGACTACCAAGAAAACAACTTAGAATTAAAAAATATATGAGATGTTATACTCCATTTTTGTCACCATAAACACTAGCATTCTATTTTTATCACCATAAAACAGAACACAAGGACTAGAATACGATGGAAAAATAACACAGCATACAAGAGTGTCTAATAAATAAGGAGAAAGAAACTTGAGCTCCAAAGAAGCAACTACTTTAGCAGCAAATTGTCTGAGGATAGACATCTCAACAGCTAAGCAACTTTTTTTTTTCTCAAACCTTATCTAAATGATCTCATCAGAATGGTATAAATTCATGAATTAGACAGCTGAACTCCTGTTACTGCTTCAGAAGTTCTTGAATGAAAAAGAGGTTACTTAAAAATCTCAGTTAGGTTCATGAAATAGATAAACCCTATGTGCTGCTAGCAAAGCTCTTGTATATAAACAAAGGCATCTTAAGCAACCTAGCTTGGGGAGACTTATGGAGATTCTGTTATTAGTCAGAGATAGAAATGATTATAAGGTGGCTTAAATAAATAATCAAAATATCACTTAAAACTAATGAAAAAGGGTGGGGAGAAGATATATATATACAAGATAAAGAGATAAACATTACCATACATTCCATACACATTCTTTATTGATCATTAAATAAACATCTTGAATCAGCATTGTGTTATGCTTATCTGCCTATATGCTATTACAACGTTTGATTCCTCAAAGATGTACAAACTTGAAAATAATATACCATTTATACAGACAAAGCCTGTGCTACTCATAAAAGAATCCCCTCAAGTAAGAAACACTGGTTAATAAACATGAACTTAGGTGTTGCAGGATAGTCCGGGAGCTGGTAAAGTCCATAATACAGGATTTACCATTTACATATGAAAATCTCTGCCACTGTTTAAAAAAAATCCCCTCATGCAAAAAACACCAGTTAATAAACATTAATTTGGGGAGTTGCAGTGTTTCCTGGCAGCATGTAAAAGTTCAGAATACAGGATTTACCATAAACAAAAAGAGGTAGGTCTAAAAGATTAACTCCAAAAAGAAACATGGTAATTTACTTATCAATCAAATTTAAGTAGTCATGGCTTGGAATTCAGCACAACGTATTTAATTTGATAGTATCTAGCAGAATCCATCACCTATCTATACCTAATTCAGACATTCCTGATTTTAAATTCAGCACAAATGCCAAAGGGAAAAGCTCAGACCTTAGAACATTCATTGCAAGCAGTAAGGTTTTAATTGCATTTCTGATGCTTATAATCATGATGGGGCTGATGCATTTTCCTTTTGAAAATCAGAAGCATGCTGAACTACCTGTTTCAAGGACATCGGTCCCTAGACTTTATTTGTAAAACAAAAGTTGACCATCATGAGTAAGTTTCAATGTGACAATTTGTCCAAATGTCTAAACACTCATTCTAAGAGTAAGTTTCAATGAACTACTTAAACACTCATTCTAAGAGTAAATTTTCAGTTACATTCTAGATAAACCTAATCCATGACACTGCAGCATAGACGGTCAGGTGGCAATTGGTAAATAAGATAGAAAAAAAAGGAACTGTTATGTGAAGCATGAGAAATGCTGCAATACTTCTCCATGTAATAGAAAATAATCCAGCAGAGCTATTTTTTCCAAAAAAATTTTTTTTTCCTTTTCTTAATGTCAAGAAGAACTTTCCATTTGGATAATTTCCTTTATGAAAACTTCCCTTATTTATAAAATCAAAGCTTAAATTAAGATAAAAAAGGGATCAAAGTAGAATTTGGATAGCACTAATTGGGTTCTTCTAGGCCTCAGGAATTGAGGCAATAGATCAAATTTTATTTTAGCATTAATGAAACAACCAATTTAACTAACAAGATATGCAATTTATAAACATCACATTAACTTTCTATAAATCAATGGTACTAAAGACACCATACAATGATTTTTCTTTAAACTCCTAAATTATAAATAACAAGAATACAATGAGTTCCAAATTTATTCAGAGTCATAATATGATCCCTATTCCTTTTATGGATGGGTATCTAGGAAATGGTTTATTGTCCAAGAATCACTGTCCTCTAGCTATCTGATGGAAAATGTGCAGCTGATTCAAGAAAAGAGAGATGAAGGAAGCATGTATTAGAAAATATTATGAGCAAACGCTTTGACATCTCATTTCCAGCCATGTTATAAAATAGTACAGACATCTTTTCTTTGCTAACCAAAATGTGAGGAGATTCTTCAAAAGGACATATGAATGTAAGCTAACTCGTACTTGATAAGCATGACCTAGACCTGCTACATAGAACTGAGGCGAGAAAGGGGGAAAGAAAAATGCATGAGGACTAACTGACTCCCCACTGAAATTCATGTATGTCTGAGGCTTTGCCAACAGAATTGGTACTTCCCCAATGGCACCTGTACTGGTCACAAAAGGAATCTAAGCAAACCATCAAGCGTAACTGTGAATCTGGAAAGATTAAACAACACAAATATTAAATATATACCTATTCCTATTAGAGCTTTTGGCTGTATAGCGTTCAACACAATCCCTTCCTCCTGAGAAATTTGATCAATCATTTCAAAACCAACTTGATAATATACAAAAGTAAATACCATATAAACCAAAACAAAAATTAAGCCATTGGCTTCATAATTTGTAATTGATTACATTGTGCCCAGTTCCATGTTACTTATTTCCAGGGTTACCGTATCCAACAATCAACCAAGGTGCATACTCCACTTTAAATCCATCATTATTATCTGCATTAAAACAAAGCCTTGTTGAACCTGGATTCCCTTCAGCAAAATACCGGCTTCTTGGATACCAAATGCAAGCGCTTGGAAGAGAGATTGAATGCAATATTGACCTAAAAAAGAATATTCGGCCTTCTTGTTACTTGTTCAATTATCTAAAAATTCAATCTTCGATTATAATTTTCTGTTTAAAGCATAACAGAAAAAAGGGAAATCGACAATTCATTATTATGTTTCATTTCATTCAAATTTCTACATTGTTCCATAGCCAAATTGAAGCTTGAACTGAGTATCGATAATGAGCAGCTCTTACCAGAGAACACAACGAAGTAAGCAATCAGAACAAGAGAAACCCCAAAAAGAACAAAAATTTAGAACTTAAACGCTGAATAGCTAAGATAAAGTCACTGCTTTGTTATTGATACTTAAATGCCTAAAAAAAAAAATCTTTAAAAATGATAAAAGAAAAAAAAAACACAAGTGCAAAAACATAAGAAAAAGAAAACTGATATAGGAATTAGAAGCGAATAAAAAACAAGTTAAGGAATTTACCTGTTTGTCTTTGGGTCATTCAATTCAATAAAAAAAAAAAGAAAAAAAGAAAAAAGAAGGTAACAGAGAGATCAAGGGGAGGGAAGAGGCGAAGATTTCAGGCTTTGGCTGTTGGATATTTCATGTTCGGATAATTTAGCCATAATAAAAAACATGAATGAGGTTATGTTTTTGTTTTTTTAATAAAAAAATTATATCTTGAGAACAAATTTAAGTATTAAAATATGACTTTTAAATTTGTTAAATATTATTTTTAAAAAAAGTTATATAAATCTATTAAGTTAAATTTCAAATTCGACCCCTTTATGCTTTGTAATAAAAAATGTTCTTATAAAATTGGAATCCAAATTTAGAGGTAAGATAAAAAAAAATAATATTAGTGATAAATAACAATATTCCTTTGAATAAAAGGAATATCTTTGAATCTTGGATTACAAATAAAAAAAAAAAAACTACAACTTTTTTAACTACAAAAAAAGTTTAAAAAATAGTAGAGAGTGTTAATTTGTTAGGGAAAAAAACAGTTTTATACTTTTGTTCTTTTTTGTAAAATTTTTATTATCTTTGATATTTATAAAATTATTTTGGATATTTTATTTTAATAAAATTTTATTTAATTAAATATTTTGTTTTAATAAAATTTTTGTGCCATTCTTGTCTCCATGTTAAGCAATTTGTGATTTCTGCTATCTCTTATGATATTATTGAGCTTTTTTTTTTATTCTTTATACAAATAAAGCATATATTTATTTATTACTTTATGTTAATGATATGATTATCACTAGAAATGATCCTTAGGGTATCCTAGAATTTAAGTAATATTTTAATAAACAACTAGTTTGTAACTCACGTTACATGTAAGACTATAATTAAATTATAAAATCATTTAACAAAGCTATTAATGTAAAGTTTAAACATTTATATTAATAACATGCTCATAATATTTTAAGCATGAAAAAAATGCTTTGAATATATTTGTTTATCTAATAGATACATGAGATAAATATCACAAAAAAAATATATGAACCAAAAAAAAATAAAAAAAATAGCTTCCTTCCGATTCTCAAATGTGAAGCCTCTTCAACCATACCAAGAAACAAAATTAATACTAATACGCTAGAAAGCTAAACTCCTAAAACGACTTTATAATATTCAATGACATGACTTGACAAATGAAATGAATGAAGTGGTAATTTCTTTTCACCGTTTCCAATTAGATGATCCCACTACCAATAAACAAAAGTGTTTCAACATAGTAGGAAACTCTTAAATTCAATCCTCAAGTGAGCTAACAATTAATAGCAGTTAATTGTCCTTTGCGCATTTCCTTGCTTCATGAATGTCATTATTATTTAGTAGTGCTTAATGCATGCAACAAAGCAATGCACTTAAGTTAGTGATATCTAATTCTTCAAACAAATATATGAAGTAACCAAATGCAGCAAATTTTGCTTTTTGTAACAATATAAGCACTTAAGATGATTATATGCTCATTATTTCAAGACCTAAAATGCTCACTAAAAAAAACCATTAAAGCTATATTAAAATGAAAAACCATATGATTCTTGAAACAATCCTACGTGACAAAATATCAAGTAATCAAATGTAACAATTTTGTTTTTCCTAACAATATGATCAGATGTTCGTGATTTCAAGCACATAAGATGCAAAATTATAAACTCTCATAAATTATACCCAAAACTAAGCTAGAATTTAGCAAAATATATATATATATATATTACCAATCAAATAACATATACTCATATTATAACCTTTCATAGAAAAGTGCAGAATTTGCAAAATCAAACAAAATAAGATATGAAGCAAAATCGATAAAAAAGAGTGAGAGAGAAATGGAACATACAATTTGCCATATGCATCTTAATTAAGCTTAATTTTTTTTCATATGCTCCATATTCAAAATTTATCAAATTCTGAATAAATACTTTACATTAGGGACCTAAAAGTCAGTTGCAGCAATCAAATAATTAAAAAAAAAAAAAAAACTTTTTAAAACTTTTTTTTGGTGAGGATATCTATAAAGTGTAAAAAACATCTATCCAATATCAATGAGTAATTGACAATAAAAAATCAAATTGCCTAAGAGATTAGCATGTTGAAACTAAGTCAATGATAATACTTAACACTACTATAATATCAATAAACTAACACATCAAAGCATACATCTTAAAAAACATATCATGATATGTAGATGAATACATGTTATTTGCAAAAGATATAAAAGCAAATGTAAACACAAAAAGTTACACTATCAAATAGATTATGCATATTGAAGTACTTAAATTGCTCCATCAAAAAGTACTTAATTTACATAGATTAAGGGACTGAATAAAATTTAGATTTGTCTAACTCTTGAAACATAATCAAGTATAATGTTTTAGTCAACAATCTTGTAGGAAGTTAAAAAGTGTTAAAAGAAAAAAGAAATTCAAAAGATAAGTATCGTTTCCAAATCTTGATTTCTTTTTAAATGCAATCAAAGATTTAATAGCTTTAGCAAAAATGATCAAACTATCAATCTACAAAAGTAGAAACATCATTACGAAATTTTCAACAGTAAAAAAATTAATGATATGTGAACCACATAAAAAAAGATGAAATAAAATTAAACTAAATCATGCATTAACAACAAATATCAAAATGATTAATATCAAAGATTTATCAACTAATCAAACTAACAAGTAAAAATTTTCATCACCTCAAAAATAATAGTTCTAAGAGGGGAAACCAGCAATTAAGAGTGAGAACTGTGCAAGTTTACATCAAAATTCTAGAAAGTTACCACAAAAGATAAATTGATTATTGTTATTTGTTTTTGAAGTCTTTTTACTTACATTTGAACCAAAAGTCTAATATGGTTGCTACCAAAGTTAAATTAGCACTCAAAGTTATCATTCTTATACAATCAAAACCATTTTTTGGTAATCATTTTAAAATCTAAGTAACAATTAAAAAAACAACTGAAGATTCAACTTTAAAGTAAAATCCTTTACCTAATGAAATAAAAATAAAATGCTTTCGATTACAATAATCGTTTTGTAATGAAATGTAAATTACAACAAATTAAATTCTTCTAGTAATTAAACGATTACAATAATCTTTTTCTTGATTGACTATTTTTAGAAGAAAATTAATAAAATGAGCTTAGAAAATCACCTTCTTGTGGTAAAGTTGGTATCAAGAAAGATTCGAAGACCCTAGAGGAAGACATCATTATGTTCTTTTACATTCAAGAACATGGTCTAGGAAATTGAAGATTAGTGACCATAAACAATGATATATTTCAACAACTAAAAAGGGTCAAAATATCTTGAAATATAATAAAAAGATGAACAGTGAAAGAGATTGAACAAACATTTTCCTTTTCCTTTCTATACATGAATGGCGCGAAAGAGATATATGAATGGTGAAATTTATCTTGTTCTTTTCCCTTTTTCTTCCCTGATCATCTTGCCTTTGTTGATTGTCATTACTCTCATCTATTTTTGCCTTCATTGTTTTTTTTTTTCCTTTATCTTTTTCTATCATTTAATTTTTTTCGTCAGATCAATTTTCTCCCCATCTCTCCATTCTTCCTCTATTACTATTTTAGAGAATAAAAGGTGAAGCTTTGTCTTGCTTAAATAGTTTTTCTTAAGAGTTTTTTTGGTGAAAAAAAACGAACTCTTTTTTTTTTTATCCCTTTTATCACTCTTCACTCTAGAACATCATTTCCTTTTTTTTTTTTACATTATAAATTTTTATGCAAAAGCATAAATAAAATAAATGTGGATGCATGTTAAGCCAGATGTAAACTTGACAAAAAAGTAGACCATATTACTCCGTTAACTTTAAAATTAACATCTTGTTAGATAACTCTAGTAATTTTACTAAAAAAATAAGACTTTAATTAAGGTGGGCAGCTGTCAACCTATTATGAGAATACAATGAGGTTATTTTAATCTTCTAGACTAGTATTTTACTTCACTAACATTGTGTTTCACGCCAAACTTTTTTAAAAAATAACAATAAATAGTGTTTTTATTTGTACCTTAACTTTTTTTAATACACCCAAAAAAATTAACTTTTAATAAAATTACTTAAAAACTCATTAGTTAATTACTTTTTTATCTTTCACACCATATTCTGAAACTCCATTTTAAAAAAATCTAAAAAAAGGTTTCTAGACATTTATTTCCAGAAACCTTGGATTTTGGATTATGCCTTTCTTGTTGATTTCTTTGATTGACAAACCTCTTGGGTTGTGTAACTAGTTGAATTATAAGTGTAAGATTAGGTACAAGTGCTTAAAAGTTTGTTTGCACATTTGGTTGTGCAACTGATTGATAAATATAAGGATTTTAAAGAATATTATTTATAGTCGGGTAGTAAGGTGGGTAAATAGGGTAAGGATGGTATAGGATAAAGCCTCCAGCTTGTTGCCCCTCATAAATCATAGCTTTGGCATCTTTTTTTTTCTTTTTTATGCATCACCATTTTTTTTTTACATTAGAAGTATCACCTCTTTCAAGTTGCCATTTTTTATGGCATGTTCTATTATTTTTCGAAGATCACCATATCAACGAAATTCTTGGTAACATTCTTAATCATTCTTTCATAATATGGGGCTTTTAAAGTATTGATGAATAGGATAGTGGTCTTCTTATCAGTAAGAGGTGAATGAACTTGAGCAACAACATCTCTCTACCTCTGGGTATATTTTATAAACCTCTCAGTAGCTTTTTTTTTTTTTCCATTTTCTATAAAAATAGTTGATTAGGAGCTAAGTCTATGATATATCCATACGAGTGATGAATGTTTTATCTAATTCTTTTCATAAAAGGATGCGAGATCTATCAAGCTGAACATACTATTTGATAGCAGAGCTAGTTAAATTGTCTTCAAACACATGAATCATAAGTTTCTCATCATGAGTATGTGCAGTCATCTTGCGATAATACATGGTGACATGATACACAAGAACTTGAATAGGATCACATACCTTTTTGGAAAAGATAGGATTGGTGTAAGCTTGGAATGTTCTTAGGGAACTACAGATGACATTCTTGGATATGCATATGGATATGCCCCCTAAAAAAGAAGCTATATTGTCCTTGTGCCCTTTGAGAAGTTTGAGCCTGGTATAGGCTATACCCAGGTGGATATAA